CTCAGGCTATTTTTTGGTCATGGTTTTTAGAGTCCAGCAATTCCTAAATTATATCTCCTTGATCTGTTTTCTAGGTATATATGTGTGTGTGTGTGTATATATATATATATATATATATATATACACACACACATATACACATATATGTTTATGTATATTATCAGATATACATTTTCTTCTATTTTTAAAATTTTTTATTTTATTCAAATATTTCTTGTCCCATAAAGTCATTGATTTTTCAGTTTCACCTATTCTAGTTTTGAAGAAGTATTTCATTTAGGTAAGGTTTATCACTTTCTCTTCTAGGCTACTTATTATAATTTTTTCCTCCAGAGTTTTAAATTTTCTTTTACTCCTCTTGTTTCATTTCTAGGTATTTATGAAGTCCTTGTAGAAAGTCCTTTTTTTTCCTTTGAGTGTTTGCAGTTTTCACAGTTACTTTCTTCTTTTAGGTGATTTCCAGATTTACAGTAGGGTTATTAGTTTTGTTTTTTTTTTTACATTGATTAATATTTTCCTTGATTATTTCATCTTTCCAGCTTTCCTTCTAAATTGGGGCTTTGTGCCAAGACCATGCTGTGCTCCGTCCTGCCTTTTTGGTTGGGGTAGTTGATGCTTCTTGTTCTAGCCTTGAATCCTTTGAGTTCCTTCACTGACCTTCAGGGGTTCTAATCTTTGAAGTTCAGAATTCTGTATCTTCAGGGCTCTTGATGGTATCTCAGGACAGTGTTAGGGATATCAGAGCTTCTAGGCTCTAGTTTCCATGTCTGAACATTGTGGTACCACAAGTCATTGGTTACTGCCTACTGCCACTTCCTTGGACATTCAAGAAACCCAACCTGGGGCTATTTGACCACCTTAGGCTTTCTTAGGGGATCCTTCAACTCTTGCTGTCTCCAGATTCAGAGCCTTGAAAATTACTCAGTTGCTTGACCTGTCTTTGATTGGGCTGGAAAGTAGCTTGCATTGGCAGCACCACTTTGCTATTGTTCTCAGGCTTCTGCATGACCTCTTGTGCAGTCCTAGGGTGGGAGAAGACATGGTTTTTTGTTGGATTTCTTGATCACTGGAGGCAACTGATGGCATAATTTATTGAGCACTGGGCTGGAGTCAGGACTGAGTTCCAGTGTGGCCTCAGACACATATTAACTGTATGACCCCAGGCTAGTTACTGGTGCCTCAGTTTCTTCAACTGTAAAATGAGGATAAGGATAATATCTACCTTGCAGGGTTCTGAGGATCAAATGAAATAATATTTGTAAAAAGTGCTTAGCACAGTGCCTGGCACATGGTAAGCTCTATATAAATGCTAATTCCCTTCTGTTCTCCATTATTTGATCTGGTGTAAACTTCAGGGTTTTGTTGGAGTAGATATGTGGAAGCTAAGCAGTTTGCCTCCAACCAAGACAGCTGTGTTGGCTGGAAGTCCAGATGGATATGGCTAAAGCACAGCTCTGACCTTATCATTTTCCTTCTCTTTTTTGGGGGGGGGGCAGTGGGGTTAAGTGACTTGCACAGGGTCGCACAGCTAGTAAGTGTTATGTGTCTGAGGCCGGATTTGAAGTCAGGTCCTCCTGAATCCAGGGCCAGTGCTCTATCCACTGTGGTCATTTTCCTTCTCAAGAAGCTTCAGTGGCTCTGTTATCTGCATTTAAAGCCCTTGGCAATCCCACTCCAAACTATCTTTAAAGATGGATTTCATATTTTTCTTCACTCTGTATTCTAGCCAAACTATCTCACTTGGTACTTGGTGCTCTGGAACATGACATTCTACCTCTTGCTTCCCTGCTTTTGTATATGTCCTACTTAGAATGCAGTTCTCACCTCAGCGCCTTGGGATCCCTGACTTTTATCAAGGCCCACCAAGGACCACCTCCTTCAAGAGGCCTTTCCTTATCTCCCCTTCTCTTCCAGTTGCTTAGTAATCTCTCCCTCAAATTAATTTACTTTGTGTATGTTTTGTATCTATATTTGAGTTATTTCACCTCCCTTGAATGATTAGGTATGGTTTTCCTTTTTGTCTTTTTATCCCCATCTCTAGCATATTGCCTTGGATGTGGTGGGCTTAATAAATGTTTATCAAATCAATGGATGTCACACCAAGCTGATTCACTTAGCTCTTTTGAGTTTGTATTTATAGCTATGACCTTCATTATCTCCCTTACTCAATTGTAAGCTTCTTCAAGGTAGAGATTATTTCTTATGGATTGTTTCTTTAGGCCTAGCACAATACCTTTAGGTATTGAATGTAGGTTCTTATGTGATTAAAAAAAAATGATCAACATGGTCATTGATTAGGTACTCCTGCTTATCATGCAGTCAATATGCAGAGATATTATCTGCAGATTTTATGCTCAGAGCATAGGCTCATCTGCATGAAAAGTCAGAGAGCCTTGAGCATCAGCTTCAGCAACCATTTATAGAAAGTGACTAAGTAGCAAAGAAAAGTGGAATTTTACTGAGGGCACGAGGGGAAGATAAGAGCATGTATGTCAGAGCAAGTAACACAGCATGGGGAAGATATAGGCATCTATAACTGACAAGCTTCCAGAAAGAAAATCTGGAAGATCAAAATAGAGACTGGAATAGTGTAATCTTACTATAGTGATGGTGAGGAGTCTGAGCCAGAGTTTCCTATCACAGCCTTTCTTTTATCACAGTGGCAGCAAGAGGTCTGAGCTATAAATTCTCTTGCCACATCATGACTCTAAGCTCCAACAAAAAAATATTTTGGGTGGAATAAAGAATCAATATTTTTATCTTTTACTCAGAAGCCAGTGATTTTTCTTACTATTTATCTAAGGAATGATATTCTTTTTTGGAGGGCAGGGAGAGGAGAATATTTTCGATTATTTTTTAACGTAAATGTGTTTACATTTTGAGTTCCAAATTCACCCCCTACCCTTCCCGTTGTAAAGGCAAGCAATATTATATCAATTATACATGTGAAGACATGCAAAACATTTCCATATTAGCTATGTTGTAAAAATTAAAAGGGCAAGAAAAATATAGTGAAAAAAGTATGCTTCAGTCTGCACTCAGAGTTCATCAGTTCTGTCTCTAGATATGAATCACACATTTCCTCATGAGTCCTTTGGAATTATCTTGGATCATTGTGTTAATTAAAGTAGCTAAGTCTTTCATAATCGGTCAGTGTTACAATACTGCTGTTATTGTGTATAATTTTTGGTTCTGTTTACCTCATTTTTCATCAGTTCATCTATGCCTTTAAGAAATACTAAAAATTTTTTGACAGCATTATATTAGGTAAGTACACTGTTGATCTGTATTCTGAACAACATGAAATACTGGGACCTAGTGGATGTTTTATAGTCTACATCAGCCTTTCTTCATCTGGGGTCTAATGACTCCTTTGTGTCAGTGTAGATACATATCAAGGCATGTGTGAACCTAGATAGGAAAACTACATTGAGCACATCTAAACTGGCTCCAACTTTGACTCTCTGGATTTTTCCTCCTCTTGTCTTTTCCAAAACCTTCATTTGATGAAATAAATACCCAGTCCAGCCATATTCGCTTCTAACTTAGTTCTCCTGACTCCTGATTCTCTGAACTTTTTATGCCTTGCTTCCTCTTGGGCACCTTCCACCTATGGGTAGACACTTTCTTTCTGCTTGTATTTGAATTCCTAGTGTTTAACACAATGCCTGGCACATAGTAAGCGCTTAATAAATGCTTTATCTATAACTGTATTTGAACATAATTGGTTTCCTTCATAATCGTGTATTTTTATATTATGCTTCATTAGACTGCCAAAAGGGGTCCATGACACAAAATAGGTTAAGAATTCATGGTCTAAATCAACAGTTCTCAACCTTTTTGGTCTCAGCACCCTTTTACTCTCTTAAAAATTAGTGAGTACACCAAAGATTTTTTCATTTATGTAGGTTATATCCATCAATATTCACCATATTACAAATTTAAACTGACTAGATTTAAAATGTTCATTTAAAAATGATAAACCCATTATATATTAACATTTTTATGAAAAAGAACCTACCCCCTAAATTAGGTGGCATTGTTTTGCATATTTTTGCAAATCTCTTCCATATTTGGCTTTAATAGAAGACAGCTGTTATTCTCATATCTGCTTGTGCATTCAACCTGTTGCAACATATTTTGATTGAAGCATGTCAAGAAAATCCAGCCTCATCACACAGATATGTAATTGGAAAAGGAAGGAGTATTTTAACAGGCAAATAACTTAGTATTTTTATGAAAGTAGTTTTGAGCTTGCAGACCTCTAAAAAGGTCTTGGTGTCCGTCCATCCACCTGCCCCCCAATGAGGGGGAAATCATGCTTTGAAAACTGCTAGTCTAAATTATGAAACCTTTCCAGAAGGTTTTAGACTAAAACTTTTTTTTTTTTTAAAGATGGCTTGTCCCAAAATAATTCAAATTTTGAAGTGACTGTCCTTTACTGGTTGGGCTGGTCTAGGTTTTAAACTAATATATTGAATGATGCAAATTCAGTTGGTTTTATATGTTCTGATATAAGAAAAAAGGGGAATGAAGAGTATCCTGGGCTGCCGCTTTAAAAGAGAGGTTCTGGAAGGAACCCGTCAATCAAGGGGAGAAGCCGCTTCTGAAGTGTGAAGTTTAGGACGAGCGGGAGCTTCTGGAGTGGAGAGGTTTCGGATCGATAGGGGGAGGAGAGTCAGGCGTGCAACTGGGGGAGGAACTCAAGACGAACCACAGTTTTGTTACCTGTCAAATTATGGGGTTGGACAAGTTTCCTTTAAAATCAGAGGATGCGCATAATAACCTGTGTCGAATGGCTTGCCGCCTCAATGAGGGAGGAGAGAATTTGGAACTCAAAATTTGAGAAAAGAATGTTAAAATGGTTTTTACGTGTCATTAGAAAAAAATAAAATAGTAGGTGGGAAAAAAAAATCATACGATGGCCTTTGGAGAGGGAACATTTAATGCCTAAGATCTCCACACATGGGAGGGGAAAGGTCAGCGCCTCCCAATTCCAGTGTCCCAGCGGAGGAGAGAGGCGCGGAGAAGTTTGGAGGACCCGGGTTTGGGTGAGGCACAGACCGGGGGGAGGAGCCGAAGGGAGACCTTGACGTCTGCGGGAGGCGGGCCCTCCCCCTTCCCCCCCCCCCCCCCGCTGTGGGGTGGGCCCTTCCGACTCCAGGCTGCGCAATGCGGAAGAGATGGCTCCTCCGGAGCGGAAGGGACGCTTCTGGCGGCGGCGCCAGTGCCAGGGACACGGGCAGTCCGGGCGCCGGGGCTGCAGGAGCTGCAGGAACCGGCGGAAGGCGCCAGGGCGAGCCCACGGCAGGCGGGCTGGCTGGGGCGCAGCCGGAGCCTCAAGCCGCCTGAGGAGAGGCCTGACAGCGCCCGAGGTGCCTCAGGTAGGGGCCCGGGTGGGGCGGCGGCGGCTTCTCCGCGGGCAGCGGGGAGGAACGGAGCCGGCTGCGGGCGAGCGCCGGGAGAGAGGGAGGTCGTGACAGCCGCTGTGCGGGCGGCCGGGCGGGCAGCAAGCGGGCGCGCCTCCGGGGTCCCCTCCCCTCGCTCAAAATGGAGGGGCTCGCCTGCCCTGCCTGCCCTTCGGGGAGCGAGAGTCCTCCAGTGACAGCCCCCTGGGGTGGGGGTCCGCACGGCTTCCCTTACTTGCTTCACCCGGTGTATGTGTGTTTGTGTGTGTCTGTGTGTGCGTGTGTCTGTGTGTATGTGTGAATGTGAGTGTGTGTGCGGGGGCCGGGGTGGGGGGCGGGCAGCCCTTCTCCCCGCGTCGGACCTTGGCAGCTGCTTCCTCTGGAATCTCTGGGGTCGAGGGTCCTTGAAAGGGAGGCAGTGACCTCTGCTCCCCAGACCGTGCTTCAGCTCCCCCGAGGTTTTGTTGGGTAATCATCTCCGTCCCTCTCTCCCCCTCTGGAGATTCGCTATTTTCCATTTTAACCTTCCGCGTCTCCTCTTTTTCTTTCTCTTCCTCCCACTGGGGCCAGTTGAAGTTTCTTTTAAAATATATATACACACACATATTTATAATGTGTTAAGCAAGAAGCTGATAAATCATTTCCTAATAAAGGAGCTCCGTAATTTTCCCTTCCTGTAAGCATCCCTTATTATGTGTCAAAACAGCACTGGGGATTCTAAGTGATCAAATTAAGCCCTGCCTTGTCATGGGAACTGAGAACCTATTCCTCCCCCCTCCCCTCTTTTTTTTTTTGGGTGTGAAAATGAAGTGGTGGCTTATTTTTTCGTTTCAGTGTCTCTCTTCTCTTCTCCCTTTCCCTTTCCTATCACCCCAAACAGACAGAAAGACAGACCCACGCAAAACCTGGCAGGAATTTCTTGGTGCTTTGCGGTCAGTACTGCAGAGGGGAGCATCAGCTTCATTTGCTGCTCTTGGGTTTCCCGGGGCTGCCTCTGAAGAAAGAATGGCGTTCAGCAAAGGATTTCGAATCTATCAGAAACTGGATCCTACACCATTCAGTCTCATAGTGGAAACTAGGCAAAAGGAAGAATGTCTCATGTTTGAGTCTGGTGCTGTAGCAGTGCTCTGTAAGTCTCTGCACCTATATTGTTAAACGCTATGACAGCTTGATTGATTTGGAACAATGTAAATTCAACCATTTTGTTTATAGACCATTAACAAAAGTCCTAAATTGTCTTCGATTTTAGTAAGTTATTTTAGTATTTTTTCATCCTAATGCCTTTCTAATGAATTTTCTTTTCTTCCATGCTGAAATATTTTTTTAAGTTGGATTTTTGTTGTATCTTCTAAGTAAAATTAATAATTTCTACTGTATCAAACCTTCTGAGTTGAGGTTGCTGCTATAATGAATTACATTAATTTTTTTCTCTGCTGTTGATGTTGAAATCTACTGGAAAGGTCTCTACAATTTTGAAAGTATCAGTCAATGCACAAGCAGAGTATCTTGCTAGAATCTTTCCTTTACATCTCAGGTGGCATAAACACTTCTGAAATTTAATGAGTTATATGCAGTTGCTGATCTTTGTGTTTTTTAAATAGCTAATGTTAACAAGTTAATAGGAAAGAATTTAATAGACTACTAGGACAGTGCCAATTACTGCAGTTATTGAGAGAGGGAGGAAAAAGTTGAGTGTTTAATTTGAATATTTATCAGTTATTCTAATTTTTATAGTGTAACCAGCAAATTTGGGATATTGGCAGCCAGTCAGGTCTAGAGGTTTTTCCTGGTAACAGTTACTGCTCATTTAGTGAAGTTTTACTATTCTGAAGTCAGTTTAGCATTTTAACTGTCTTAGTTAACTTTTTAAAAAGTCATATTTAAATATTGGCTGTTGTTTTTCAGGTATTATTGAAACATTGAGTCAATTGATGACATATCTTAAGAATTATTTAGAGTTCATTGATGATATTATTGATATTTAATGGGCTAACTTGATATTATAACAACTTTATTATAATAGTTTATACTGTTTGGGGAGAGAGGCAGGAATACATTTGAAATATAGCTTTATTTTAATGTACTGGAGGAGGATCTCTACTTTTAGACTTAGGTGCTTTAATAATAATTATTCCTAATTAACATTTTCACTGGTATTCATTTATACCAATTTTGATGAAGTAGAATCAAGGACAGGGGAAGATAAAGGTTTTATTATGTATTTAAAAGCTCAAAATGTTTTTTTGCAAACATCTCCTAAAATTGTCCTTGCAAATATTTTAAATTATGACTCGTCCTACTAATCTTATCTGAATTCCAAATGTTCCCGTAACTTAAGGCTAAATTTTGTCCCAGACTCATGGAAGAATCAATGTTACTGTTTTCAGCCATCATGGAATCAGATTAAAAACTGCCTTTCTTTGGATCCCCCGCACTTAACACAGTGCCTGGCACATAATATGGGTTTAATAAATGCTTCTTGACTTGACTTGGTTGGACTGGAAGGAATGTCAGAGGTTACCTAGTTTTACAGATGAGGAAACTTGAGCCCAGAGAGGTTCAGTGACTTGACCCAGAGACCCACAAGCAGTAAGTAGCAGAGTTGGGATTTGAACCCAGATCTTCTGACTGCAAATCCAGCAGTCTTTCCCTTGCACTTCTTCTTCTTCCATCTTATAATTGTGAAATTGATTTTTTGAAATCAAGTGTAAGACTTCATGTTTATCCCTATTACATTTCGTGTTAGACTTGACTGATGTGTTATAATTGTTGGTTTTTTTGGATCCCAACTCTGGCATCCAATATGTTAACAATCTATCCTTTAGAGTGTCATAATCTGCAGATTTGATAAACATGTCATCTATTCATTCTCCTCTTACATAGACAATACAGTTGTGGATGGAAATTATCCATTCATCAAATAGAAGGAATTGACAAAATATATTTTATTCTTATCCATCATTTTTAAGAGTCATGAGGTAGTACCATATGCCAATGAAGAAGACAACCATTATTGTTGAAAGGAACTTTAGTACAACCTGATCATTTTGAAAATGAAGTCTCCTACTAGGAAAGACTGAAGATTTTATCCGTATCTACCTCCCTGTTCAAAATCATGTTGGAACTTGTACTATGAATTGAATGTGTACTTGCAGATCTTTTTTTTTTTCAATCTTGAAGGAGTCATGTTAGATTTTTTAACCTCAGGACAGAAAACCTAGAAATAATCATGATTTTGAAAATATATGCTAGTTATATGTTAAACTATATGGTAATATAAAGGGATTCCCTTATCAGTGCTCAAAGGAAAAAAAAACCTGAAAATGAGACAGTAGAATTTATTGTTTGAAAATTTCTCAATATTTGAACTTAAATTTTTGCAGAAACAATTCGGTTAGTTGCTACTCCTGTTCATTTCCTTTTATATTTAAATCACTTGTACATTTATTTCAAGGAAAAAAATTAAGTGAATTTATTCTTTCTGTAAAAAGAGATTTCAACCAGAATGGGCTCAGGGGCTGTGTCAGAAATAACTAGTATGAAGTATTTATTTTTTTAATTACTTAAATGTTTATTGATATATTAAATTCTCCCTTTTTTTTTCTCCTTGTTAATCGTTTCTCAAATGTGAAGTTGTTGTGTTAAGGCTCACCTTTCTTTTTGAAGTGAATCTATGTTAAAAAAAAAGATTAATCCACTTTAATTTTCAACTTCTAGATAAAATAGATTTGAAAGACAAAGCCCATTTACCAAACAACTATGTTATTGTGAAATTAATTTTCCTAACAAAACTAAAGGAAGAGAGAGAAAAATAAAACCCAAGCAGAATAATAAACCAATAACTTTTTCACCGTACCTTCCTGATCTTATCTTATAAAATATCATTTATAGCTCTTGTCAATTTAAATACTTTTTTTTTGCACTTAAGAGTTACATGTATTTGAATACCAGTAGAATTTCTAAGAGTTATATTTTAAAATTAGGGTATTTGGTTTAAGTTGAAAGGTTTATTATAGCTTTCAAGATAAACTTGTAGTTATAAAAATGTTAGTTAAAATAAAGTTTTGATTTATAGCTAAGTTAAGAATTTAACAAAAAATAGATGTCTTTTGGTGCAAAACATTTGTTTTTTCATCTGAGCATTTATTTGAATGTTAACACAAGCACTAAGCTTGCTACACTTCAGAGCAAGCTTACAATAGAATTATATACAATACAGTAGAATAGTTACTGCTGAGAGAGAACTCTGCTGAGTTCTGCTTTACTCCAGTCTTATAATGTGAAACTTTTTCATTAGTTGCCTTTTCTTTGACTCTAACCTTTTCTTGAAGTATGATCTTTATTCTTAGTTAATAAGATTGTGGGTTAGCCAGAACCTCAGAGACTGAGGAAATTATAACTCACAGGTAGATCGTATAGAAACATGAGAAATCTTTCACCCTTTTTAGTGATGATATCATTCTCAGGAACAAAGATGTAGAGGTCACTTATAAATACTATACTACACATCAGCAACACTTCAGTATTCTGTTTCCATTATCTAATAATGTGCTGCACAATGATTTGACCTTTCTGTTAGAACTCTTCCTCTCACCTTCTTTCCATCTTCTTACATTCACAGAAATCTGTCTCTTCCCAAAAGAAACTGCATTATGGAGTACACATTTTCTTTTGTCCGTTGACATTCTAGGACAGTAAAAAGAATAAGCGTATTCCTTGTTCTTTACTATTCTTTTTTAGATTCTGCTTCTTTGGCCATTTTAGCAACCCCTTCTCCTTTGAACTTCACTTCATCTGTCTATCTTGCCCTCTCCAGATCCTGCTGACTGTTATCTCTAAGTGCCCAGGTTATTCTCCCTCCTTTCTTAGGGAGCTCAGAGCTGCAGAATCTTCCTCTCTGCTGCAACCCCTGTCCTCATTTGTAGACCTCCTAATTCATCAACCTCTTCAACTTCTGTGGTCTATACTCTTAGCCACATACAGGGCTAGGTAGTGTGTGTGTGTGTGTGTGTGTGTGTGTGTGTGTGTGTGTGTGTGTAGTCTTAACCTTTGGTCTCACTATCATATAAAACTTGATATTTGAAACTGAAAATCCTCTCTTGGACCATGACCTCTTTCCCTGCTGTTGCCTCTTTCTAAACCTAGTCTCTATTTTCATTGGGAACCTAAGGCACTTTCCCCCTCCCTGTCTTCCCAGCCCAATTTCTCTGCTCTGGCTTAACTTTTCTCTCCTTGAAATCTTAATCATATAGTTAGCCATTCAATTTTACATGATCCTTTACCTCCTTGTCCTTCTGCTGCTAGTATCTTGCCAAAGCCCATCCTCAGGGAACATATTACCACCTACTTTCTCTATTCTTCCACGTACTGCTGAAAACTGCTGGAGGAAGTAAGGTAACTATGTTGAAAAAGTTCTTTTACAAAGTGACTTGCCCGTAGTCATATCACTACTAAGGGTCAGAGGCAGGATTCAATCCCAGGTCTTCCTCACTCTAGGATTAGTGCTGGTCACTACACTATTGCTGCCTCTGTGACATATTTTATATATGACCTTATTTGATCCTCATGACCTCCCCGTGCAGTAGGTTCCACAGGTGTTGATATCTTTGTTCATTGATGAAGAAATTGCAACACATAAAAATTAAGTGATTTACCCATGATTACACAACTGTTAAGCATCAAAGATGGGATGAGATCCCAGGTCTCATTTGACTTTAAGAACTGCATTCTTCCTGTTATACCAAACTGTTTCTCTGTCTTCTTTCTACTTAGTATCCTTCACCCTACTCCAGACCCTCATCACCTCTATTGAAATAACCTCCTAATTAGTCTTGTTGTCTGTCCTTTTTTGATTCCCCAGTCCACATAACTGCCAGCCCTGACACTCCCCTGTTCTAGAGTGCCCTCCTTTACCAACCCAATCATTTAAAATTTCAAGATCCTTTAAGGCTCAGTTCAAGTGGCTTCTCTTATAAGACACCTCCCTAGCTGTTGGTGCTCCACTTCTCCCCACTCCTACCCCTACTCCCACTCGCCACCCCCACCACCGCCACAGAAAAAAAAATTGGTATTTACTGATCTGTGGATATATTGTAACACCTCAGGAACTTAAATTCCTCCAGGGTAAGAACTGTTGTATATTTGTATGGCTAGTGCCTAACAGAGTATCTTGCAGAGTATCTTTTGTGTGGT